AGGAAGTTAATTATTTTCCAAAAGCTGCAATTACTTAACCAGGTAACTGTGGATAGTAATGTTACACTTAGCATGGAGGAGGAAATAACCTCATGGGAAATGTGCCATTCAAGCAAACTATTGTGAATATTGCTACCTGGAAGTCTTCAGGCATCTTAGGGTTCACAAGTAGTTCCTTGGTGCCTGTTTTAAAGTAACAGTCCCCCTCACCCTGGCTTACAGTTGAAAGCATCCTTTTCCATAGCATGAGCAATTAAGAAAGATTTACAGATGAATTGATTTTGATATGAGAACTTCAACTATCTTCTTACCAATTCAAGTTTCTTCTTTTGAATTGAAACTTTTTATTATGGTTATGCATTTATTTATTGAGATATATTGATTCAATGCATACTGGTAATTTGAGGACTCTGAAATATTTCATCTCCTTTTTTTGACAGATACCACTCGTTCCAAAAAGAGCTATGAAATAAATGGGCGTGAGTACCATTATGTGTCAAAGGAAACCTTTGAAAGCCTCATGTATAGTCACAGGTGAGGCAGAATTCATACATCAGTGTAGTCTCTATTTTTGCATTTGAAATAGCTCTCTTGTGTTTGTGCACTATCTAAAGCTCTTGAGGACAATGCCCCTTTGTTTCTGAAGAGGTAAACAAGGAAATGTCCATTGATGTAATAATATACAAACTCAGTGCATGTGAAAAGGTAACAGGACAGAGCTACAAACTTTAGAGATTTAGAGGAAGTAACTTTTGTATGTTGCTGAATATCTGCTAGTTCTTTTTTTTTTTTGTGCTAGCAATGCCCACACATTTCTTGGACTTATCATCATATTACATGTTTCACATGTAGGAAGAATTCTTTTTTGAAAGATTCATTTCTTTATTTGAAAGGCAGTTAGAGAGAGACAGAGAGCTTCCATCTGCTGATCCATTCCCCAAGGGACATGACTAGCAAGGGTTGGTCAGGTCAAAGCCAACTCCATCTTCTGTCTTTCACAAGAGTGGCAGAGGACCAAGTCCTCAGGCCATCTTCCTCTGCATCCAAAGGCATATTTATCAGGAAGTTGGATTGGAAGTTGAGTAGTCAGAACTCAAATCAGTGCTTATATAGGATTCTGGCATTCTAGGCAAGAATTCTTTTGTCTCTCACCCTTGCAGGATGCTGGAGTACGGTGAGTACAAAGGCCACCTGTATGGCACCAGTGTGGATGCTGTTCAAGCAGTCCTTAATGACGGGAAGGTCTGTGTTATGGACTTGGAGCCTCAGGTGGGTTTGTAGCAGAATATTTCTTAACTTCCTAAAGCATTGAATGTGTGTCATCTGCTTTGTACTCACACTGTAGGTCTTAGTGGAAATATCTAATTTCAATAGCCTTTGAAAAATAAATCACTTTTCATATCTAATGGCCAGGGTCTTCCTTAAAGCATCAATTGCCAGCATCTTGATTTTAGTTGAAGAGGAAATCTTGGCTTTCTGACACAAAAACAGAATAGAAGTGAGGACTATAAAAGAAAGTTAGACTTTTGCTTTGATCACAGAGACATCAAGGTAACTTCTGATGGTAGGAATAAGATGCTGTTTTACATAAGGAGGTGAGGTTGCTATGCTGCCACATATGTGGTTGTGTCTTTGACATGGACTGAAGCAGAAATAAGCAAGTTAAGCTGGAATCAAGACAATGTGATTTGAAGGCCCATTGTTGATGATCACTAAATTCTGCTCGTGCTTTATTAGTCATTAAAAAAGGTACTTTGAGTGCTAAAGAGAAATGGAGGAAGGGAGATTGATCCTTGAGTCAAGGCCGGTGGTCAGTGTGAAGATAGCAGTGTGATCCGATGTTAGGTGATAACAAGAAGAAAGAAAAGTGAGGGGAAACAGTACAGATTCATCTTGAGGGTCTCTCTTTATCTTTGTCAAAGGAGATTTACTCTCAGTAACTCAGATTCTTTCCCATACAGATTCTTACCCAGATAGTAAGGTTGTGATAGCTAGTCCTAGCTAGTGAGAGTCACAGCCAGGGTTTGCACATAGTTTTTGAAGAAAATATTTGATGCTATTTAATGATGAAAAACTGGAGGCCACATGAGACTATTTGCTGGCTAAAAATAATTGGTGATTTCTGATCTTAGATCAAGAAGCTGGGGTTTCTGTTTTTAAATGTGCTTTAACTTCTCCATGTAGGATATTCAAATGGCTCGAACTCAAGATCTGAAACCCTATGTCATATTTATAAAGCCATCCAATGTGAACTGTATGAAACAGTCTCGGAAAAATGCCAAAATTATTACCGACTACTTCGTGGACATGAAATTCAAAGTAAGATTTAGTGAGAGGCCACTGTAGTGCTTGTAGTGACAGGTAGGCTGGGGAGAGATCTGGGTTTGGCCAGCTGAGCACCTTGGAAGTCACTGTCCTTCTTGTCTCATCTCTTCTTTTGTATCTGCTCCTGAAACCCTTCAATAAGGTAGTGATTAGAAATAACTTGCTGTATTGCTTCCATAGATGACTGTGTTGAAGAATGTAACTTTGGGGGCTGGCATTTACCTTAGCAGCTAAGTTGCCAGTTGACACACTCCTGTCTATTTCTTTCTAATGCAGTTCAGGGAAGTGGGGAGGGAGGGGTGATGAGAAGGCAGGAGGAAGGAGAGAAGAGAGAGGAGACAGCAGAAAGGAGAGACAATCTCCTATTACTGGTTAACTCATCAAATGCCAAAAATAGCTAAGGCTGGGCCTGGAGTTGAAAGCTCAATTCAGGTCTCCCACGTGCTTACTGGGGCCCAACACTTCATAATCAGCATTATGAGGAAGCTGGAATTGAGAAGCACAACCAGAATTTAAACCCAGTTACTCTGATATGGAATGAAAGTTTCACTTATGTAAAAGGTGCTCATATACACACACGCACACATTGAGAGAGAAATCTTCTGCTCACTGATTCACTTCTCAAATGTCTAGGGCTGGGCCCAGACGAAGTCAGAAATTCAGAACTCAATTGGGTCTTCCTTGTAGGTGACAGGGCCATGACAACTTGAGGCATCACTTGCTGCCTTTTCACAGGTGGCCAATAACAGGGAGCTGGAATCAGAGCGGGAGCTGGAACTCTAAGTGTCCCCAGGGTGGCATCTTCAGCACTGTGTCAAACACCTGTCCAAGAAGCAGACAACCTAGCCAGCATCTTAACTGCTAGATCAAGTACTTGCCTTAAGCACCTTTTATGATGTCTTTTGTGTCTTTTCAATGACTATGAAGGTCTGATTCTCCAGTTTGTCTTTCAGTTCATGGAATTCTTTGAGTGACTGTGGCATTTATAAATTGGTCTCGTTTTTTTAAAAAGGTTTATCCGAAAGGCATATTTTACAGAGCATTCATTCCCCAAATGGCTAGAATAGTCAGAGCACAGCTGATCTGAAGCTAGGAGCCAGAAGCTTCCTCCAGGTCTCTCACTTGGGTGCAGGGTCCTAAGGCCCTGGACCATCCTTTCCCAGGTCATAATCAAGGAGCCTAGACTAGAATTGGTACCAAAATGGGATGCATGTTGGTGTATTATTTTTATTTGCTGCATAAAGTCTCTGCTATCTATATTCTTCTATTACTCTTGAAGGATGAAGATCTACAAGAAATGGAGGAGTTATCCCAAAAAATGGAGGCTCAGTTTGGCCAGTTTTTCGATCACATGATTGTGAATGGCAACTTGCAAGATGCCTGTGCCCAGCTGTTATGTATCGTACAGAAGGCTCAGGATGAGCCTCAGTGGGTCCCAGCAACATGGATATCCTCCGACGCTGAGTCTTGATGGTGCCACCTGCTGCATGCTGTGGTGCAACACTGCACCCTGGTGGGAGAGAAATAGAGTAACATCTGCATCTCAACAGCTGTACCTGACCCATTTTAATGTGTGCAACTTTACAAGTGCTGTAGTTCATGAACACTTTTGCAAAAATTATGTATGACTATATATTCTATTGTGAAGTTATAGAATTACATGTTGGGCATCTAGAATGTATTTTTTTCCCTTTACTTCCTATGTGGCTGTGGTAGGAATATAAAAAATGTTCTTGAGAATGAGCACCTCTTAGAGATGGCAGACAGTCCTTGCAAGGTTCAAGTAAAAGGTACTTTTCTAAATAAAATAAGTAACATTTATTTCAGAAGTGCATTTTACTTTATGAACCTTCTGCTTGAATGTCTTTCACAAAAAGTGACTAATTGACTACCAGCAAGAAAGGTTAATACACACAATTCATGTCCATATCAAAATCTGGGGATGCAACACTGCTCTCAACACTGACACATCAGTCTACAAGGAAACAGTTTTTGGACCAGAGCAGTTAACAATCGTTTGCTAAAAGCCATCACCCACTTGTATGGATGTGGGGCACTGGGACAGTCCTGGAGACAGGGAAAAAAAAGTCATAAGATGATGATGATGCTATTTCACAGTCTTGATCTTCTTCCCCACTGTCTGAGAGGCCGGGCCCTTAACTGTTCTTTTTCTGCATCATTCTCTTCCTGCTTTTCCACACCACCTCTTCCATTTCGTAATTATAAAACAGAGTGCATGACTTAATTTTGGAGGTTGGTTGGTCTGTTTTTTGGTTGTTAATATTTCGTTTTTACTTAGCTGCCTTTAAAAAAAAAACCCAAACAAAATGGAGAAAATCAGATTTTTACAGGACACTTAGATGAGCTCAAATTTAGTGTTGTGCTTTCAGAAAAGGATTCTGCATTTTTGCGATAATCAAAGAGACTTCCATACTCGTTTCCACATCGTGGCCAGCAGCGGCGTTCACACATCCGATCCCAATCCAGCCGCCTAGGAACGCGGCGCCGGGCAAGGCATAAACGGGCGGCTCCCGCGTCTGCGGCCTCGCCCGGGTCCAGGCGCTGCCAAGCCCCCGCCTCCCGCGGGTCCCGCAGGTCCCGGAGGCCGGCGCGGCGCGGGGAGCAGGTCTCAGCCCCGGGCGGCTGCGCCGAGGGAACCCCGAGGGGCGAGCGCCATGAGGGACCACGCGGAGCCTCGACTGGAGGAGGCCCGCCCGGTGAGTGGTCTGATGAGCAGACCCGCCTTGGGGCGCGGCCGAGGTCAGGACCCGCACTCCGAGAGCGAGTGGGGACCCCGGGCGGGTAGGCCGTGTCCCGGGGTTTGCGCTCGCGTCGCCATGACGACGCTCCGGGTTGCGCGGGCTGGGCGGCGGGTGCCCTCACGCAGACTCCGTCAGGAACGCGGGGCCTTCCGCTCTGAGCGCGCCGGGCTTGTACACCCGGGCCCTGTCTCAGGCCCCGCTAACAAAATCACAGCGGCCGCTCAGGTATCCCTGCGGGGGGAGCTGTGACCGGAGCGCCACAGCCGCCAGAGGCTCTGCCCTCGGGCCGGCCAGCCCAGACTCCGTTCCCCCACGGGGCCGGTCTGCGGAGGTCAGCCCCGACCCGGGGACCACTCGGTCCAGTCGCCCATCGGGGGTCGCAGGGCCCGGAGCGGCCGGGGCCGCGCAGCCCGATGACGCAGTGCGCCTGCGCGAGCGGCCGGCCGGGCAGGGGTGGCGCCCTGCGCCTGGTGGGGCCGGCGGGGGCCCCCGGCTGCGGACTGAATGGGGAAGAAGCAGGTGGTAAGCGAGCGGTGGTTATTTTTTCGCTGTTAGGACCTATGTCTCTGGTTGAATCGTGCTTGCTTTTGAGGGGTCTCGAGGTTGGGTTTCTGGGTAGGTGGGACCTGATTTTTTTGCGGGATTTTTGAATGAAAGAGTTAGCAAGAGCTGGGCCTTTGGCTGGAACGAGCTTCGTTGCATCTTAGGAACCGTGGAGCTCCCTGTAGTGCAACATTTTTTTTTTTTCTAATGCTTGGCTGCTGGGTGGAATTAGAACTGTCTGTGTCATCCTACGCGTTAGAGCATGTACTGTTTGAACAAATTGATTCCTAGATGGGGCGAACGTTGGAAGGTCTTAGAATGTAACCGCGTTAACTCCGTTTCTTCTGCGAGCAGCCTGAGAGACTGAGGCATTGTCTTTCTTTTCAGAGATTACAGAATGCTGGCAGCAGTGCTGTCCGAACTGCTGTCACGAGTTTTCTTTATGATCTCCTTCTTCCCCCTTTCTTTCTGCCTTAGCATCTTTTTTGCGTTGTATGTACTGTCTTCAAAAGCATGCTCCTCGGGGGCTGAAAATTCTTTTGGCTTCGCATTGAGGGTTACCCCTCACCCCCACTGAGTTTTAGAAAGAATCCGGTTGTCTTGGTCTGCAGGACTGACTGGGCGCTCCTGGGCACTGATTCTACCGGATATCAAAGATGTGATGATAGAGTCAGATCCAGTACATTCCTCTCCGGTGTCTCTACAGCAGGCTTTCCAGAAAATTGCTTAATGGTGTTCGAGGTGAAATAAAGATGCCCAGGCTGTCCGTTAACACCGCTTTCTTCTTTCCCCCAGCGTCCTCCACGAGCCCTTCCACCTGTGCCAAGGTAAACACAATTGACAGTAATTTCATTGTAGCGCTTTATAAACCTAAAGTGAATACAGTGAAAATCGGGCATGTAGGGTTGAGAAAAAGACTGTTCGGAAGACACTTCCTGAAACTTCTGGGAAAGGCTTCGTAAAATGTTAAAGGTAAAACATGTTTGAATCCTGAGGGTGGCGGTTACAATCCAGTGTTCTTCTTTATTTAAAAGCCAGCCTGCCAACATGGTGGGCTGGGCACGTGTTCTGAACTCTGTCTTGTAGACTGGCCATAATTCTCATCCTCTTTTGTGTGCCAGAATAGTCTCCTCAGAGTGTAAGCTGATTATGGTCAGTGACAAATCAGTTCTTAATCTGCCTTATTATATAGCCATAAGGAGTATTGGGGCTATTTTATTAGTAGTAAATGTTTTATTTCTTATTAGTACACTAGTTTGTAAACTAGTGACATTGTGTGATTGCTAATTTTATTTTAAATTGAAATGTATAACGATTCTAGTCCATTTTAGTTTGACAATGTCATAAATTTTGAATTAAAAGTTTCTTTTTCTGTTTTTCTCCTGACTAAATTTGGTCTGTATCATGTGAAGTGTTATTCAAGGTAAGTTAATTTACTATCATGTGGAATTTTAAAAATATAGACCTTGTATTAAAATACTATATTCAAAAATTAGTGTTCAAAAAAGTTTAATTCTTTTTTAAAAATTTAAATTTTTTAAAAATTTAAAAATTCTTTTAAAATGTATAAAACCATGCTTTGTGTGATAACAATTGGCTACAGCTGGTATTTAAACATTATGACAGCGTATAAACTAGATGATCTTGATGTGACAGAAGTATTTCATCACTAGAAAGAGTCATCCAGAACCTAAGTCATTAGTGTAAGCTCCGTAACGGGGACTGCATCTTCCATTGTCTCGTTTGGTCAGAACGGGTGAAGTTTGGCTGCACTAAGAACCCCCAAGTCTCAGGGATGTAATGTCACACAGGGGTATGTCTGATGAATGCAGGGTAGATTGTGCAGCAGTTCCGGGCGGATGCCCTGGACTACCTGTGACCTCAAGACGTAGTAACCCACAGTAATTGTGCCCTTTGGCTCTGCCATCCTAACCTGCTTTGGCAGGTGCCACCACAAGGAAGGAGAGAGCTGGAGGTTGCTCCTTAGCTCTTTTGGAGTTTTAGCTCTTGCAGGACACTGACCCATAGCGTAGTGGCTGGAATTAGTCAGAGGTTATGCCTGACTGCAAGCAGGGTGCAGGGAGCGGAGAGGACTGTAGGGATTCAGATGAACGTTTAAACCCATTTCCTATGCCACAGTTTCTAACAGTACTGACCGTCAGCCACCACACTGGAGGTCTCTTGGACGTTGTCTGTGGATTTCTTGTCCTTTTTCTCCCAATGAGTAGAAGTAGACTGGACCCAAGGAAGAGGGGGGAAAGTGTGTCCTTGCTACAAGGTTTTTGTTTTGTTTTACTTTTTTTTTTTTGGAGTGTTCCCTGCAGTGAATGAATGTTAGGCAACCATTTCTGTTGTTCTTTCTGTCTCATAGATGATATTCCACTTAACCGTCCCAAGAAGAAGAAGCCCAGAACTAAAAATACGCCTGGTAAGAAGTTAGTCATTGTTGTGTGGGCTCACAGGCTCACGTAGGGCCTTAGGTGTGAGAAACATCCAAGAGCAGGGAAGAGGAGGCGGGTCTGCTGTGGGGAAGGTGGAATTAAGGCTGGTCTGAAGTTCTGGGATTCCTGGCGTCAGTGAGTACAAGGCAACAGAGCAGTTGAAAACCTTCATGGAAAAAACAGTTGGGACCCTAAACTCTCATTTCCAGTGTTTTTGAAGTCTTTGAGGTCTTTTATCCCTAACAGCATGCATTGTTTTAAGTTATGGTTGGTTTCAGATGTTAGGACAGGATCCTGGGTTTTGTGGAGGAATTCTTAAATCCCTCCCTTCAGTCAGAGAATCACTACCCTAGAGCAGTGGTCTGAAGGGAGGGCAGGCCCACATTGTCCATGTGTTAGAAGCACTAGCTGTCGCAGGTGCTGTGGCTTTCTCTTCTGTCCTAGGTGTGTATGCGTGATCCTGGATGATGCTGTTCTTATTGTTGTTCATAAAAGGAATCATTCTATACGTACTGTGTTGGCTTCTTTATATGTAGAGGTCCTTGTGTTTTTAAGCAGTGACTTCATAGTTTATAAGAATGAACCATAATTACCAGTTCATTTTTCTTTTTACTTGACTTCAAATTTTTCACTCCAAACCATGTTGCAGTTTTTCTACATAAAAGAATGAGTAGTATGGAGGAAGAGGAATTTCTGTGGAGTAGATTACTAGCAGTGGAATTACTGGATAAAGGACATATGGAGTTTTAAAATGAAACTTTTGTTGAATTGCATTCAAGGAAGGCCATGTAGGGTTTTTTTGTTTGTTTGTTTTTCTTTTTTTTTTTTTGGCTACCAGTAGTATTTGATGGTGTCACATTCTGTAAATCTTTAAAAGCCCTGAACAGTATCAGTGCTATTTATTTTTTTATTTATTTTGTTAATTTAGGAGGTGAAGAGTATCTTATTTTAGTTTGCATTTCTCTTAAGTACTAGGGATGTTAGACAACTTTTCAGTTATCCATTAATATATTCCTGTTTTGCTTGTGAAGAATACAGGTGAGAATGTTGTCAAATAAGATTCTAATCTGCTGAAATGTGTTGAAATTCTGTTAAGATTTCATAGAGGGAGAGAGGTTGAAATGATTGGCCAAAAGAAGAGATACATGGTTACCTGTTAATTTCAGACATCTATGATGGTTTTATCAATATAGGACTACACTGTAGTAGAAATGGGTCAACTTTTTTCCTGCCAAGAGCCATTTTGACTATCACGTCATTCACAGGTCATACGGAAATATCTGCTTAAGAGCAGCTGCAGAAGGAGGGAGGGAAGAGTGATAGAAAAAGAAGGGTTGTCATTTATCCTCTGCATTACTTCTTAAATTCCCAAAACAGGCGGGGCTGGATCAGGCAAAAGCCAGGAGCTAGGAAGTCCTAGATAGTTAGCAAAACTGCAGGCACTTCATCTACTGCCTCCCAGGTAGATTGTGAACAGGAAGCTGGATTGGAAGTGGGGACAGAACTCTGCGATGCAATCGTCATGAGCAGGGGTTTAATGTATTGTACTACAACTCCTGCCCCATGATTTTGTGATTTTGCCTTTTGAAAGTTCTTTGTGTTTCTCTCAAATAGGTTTTCCTTCTTCCTTTTCTTTTCTTTAAATTTAAGCCCTCAGCCTTCCCTATTCCCTCTTTTCTTATATTAAAGCCCAAAGTGACAGTTGAGGAATGAAGCATGAAGATTTGGGATTCACTTGTAAAAGAGAAAGGATTTCTACGTAGGGAGCATTCCAGTTACCTGTTGTCATTGTTTAGAGACTCACCGATGGCTGCTTAGATTAGCCCACCTGTTTTTCTGTAGCCAGTGCTGCTCTGGAAGGCCTTGCTCCGACCACTGCTCATGGACCACGTGAGGACAGTGAGCTGCCAACCACAGAACTCACAGAGCATCCAGAGGCTCCTGTTCAGAGGAGACAGAGGAAGACACGCCCTTCTCTGGGTATGTGAAGGAAGCCGGGTTGGACTGTGCCCACAGATGTGATTTTTGAGAATATGATAAGAACCCTTCTGTTCCTATTTCCCTCCGTCCCTATACCATGGATGGTTTCTTGCCTAAAACATTTACCTCTTTTAAGGATACCAGTCACTGAATTAGGGCCCTTCCTAATCCAGCATGACTTCATTTTAACTTAATTATATCTATAAAAACCGTACTTATTTCTAAAAATAAGGCTATATTCACAGATACTGAAGAGTCAAGGCTTAAACATTCATACACACACACATTGCAGATGATAAGTATATGCATCTAAGGCAGTTTCAGAAAGTTTGTGGAAAAACAGAACCAGAGGATAATGTGCATTTTTAAAAATTAGTGATTATTTTATTATTATTATCATTTTATGATACAGTTCCATAGGCTCCTGGGATTTCCCTTATCCCCTCCCCAATCCCCCTACCCAGTTCCTCTATATCATTACTAAAGTATAGTTCTTCATACACAGTCATATGTCTATCATTGTGGGCATGGACAATAGCAGAGAGTCCAGCATCCATTGTCAAGATACAGTAAACAGTTTCATTGTAAGTCCATCTTTAGTCTGGAAGTCCTACTTCCTGGAATGTGTCCTCTCTGCTTCATCCTGATTAAATGTTTCTCCGTAAACATGTCCTTACCCTATTCTGCCATCTTGATTCTCGATAATGTGCATTTTCACAAATTGTTTCAAGTCCTTTTATAACTCATACAAAGTAAAAATAAAAAACAACCGTAAGGATATAAACAGGAACAATGGTTTTATTTTTAAGAGGGAGGTTGATTTTAATTTTCTCATTTATGTTTTGTTAATTTCCCAGATATTGAGTATGACTTTTATAATAATGGGCAAATAGACAAAGGATTTTGTTAAAACAAAATGAAGGAGAAAAGGTTGTGAGCTCAGCTCTCTCTCCCTGTAACATCAGCCCCTATAAATAATTTATCACAATTTAGTTTTCCTGATTAGTTACTTGTCCCTTTAGGAAATAGCAGATCCTGATTGGATGGCATTTGAAACTACAAGAGACAGGCAAATGAAATAGTTGGCAGAGGGAAGTTAAACTGAGAATAGCAGTGCCTGGGCATTCTCTGAGTATCTATGAGAAAGCGAAGGGAGAAAGGACACAAGAAGCAAAAATAAAATCAGAAATGATTGCCATGTGAACTTTTAATAAAATAGTTTATTTCACCACTGGAAATATATTTTACATTAAAATGAATGAATTACCAGAATACATTAGGGTACATATTTGAAAAGTAAGATGATTACTAATAACTAATAATAAGTGTTGTAATTTGTGGGAAATTATCTTTACACAAATGCCTTGCCCATTTTTAGAAAATTTAGGACCCAGCTATGTTTTGGGCCAGAAAATACCTGTCACTGCCAAGGCTATCCTAGAATGTACTTAGTCTTGCAGGAGCAGCTTTTAACATTTCTAGACTTGAAAAGTTTTTTTGGGGGAGTGAGGGCTGACCATGGTAGGCTCTACTGCTTGTATTGTACTTCCAGCTCAGGCTGTAAATTTTTTTAATGAAAATTGAATTTTAAGGATTTAGCATTGCAAGGAGCCAGGATTTCTGGAGGGAAGAGAAGCTAGTGGATTAGAAATCTCCATTGACCTGTTGAACTGTAATACCAGTGCTGTTTACTGAAGAGTTAACGCGGCAGGCCTGTGACTCCTGTAGAGGCTGGCTTGCCAGACTAATCAGCCGTTTGACTTATTCTGGGAACTTAGGGGTAAACAACTTCCTATGTGGATAGAAGACTTTCTATCCAGTGTAAGGCAGCTCACTGTGATCTATGCTGTACACCCACTTCCCTTCTGGGCAACTGGAGTTTTCATACTTGCTAAGACTATGGGACAAGCTCCTGATAAATCCTGGGGCATTGATTCTACGTTCCAACTCCCTGCTGAAGGCCTTAAAGGCTTTGTCTTGTTTAACACTGTTAGGCACCACCCTTGGAGCTTGTAACTGGTTGCTTTTAGACTTTGTTCCACATGCTTTTTCCTTCTGCTCATTTCTTTTATGCTCTTTTGCTATATAATACATTGTAACTATGACATAATGGTTTCTGGGTTCCATGAGTCCTTCCAACGGACTTATTGAATCCGGAGATAACATTGGTGATTTCTAGCACAGACTTTTTTTGGGATCCTTACATATTTTTCCATGTTGTTTGGCATTGTCAGTTGTCAATTTCAAATTTTATAATGTAATTTGGGAGTGGGAAATTTTAAAAGCTCTTAAAATAGTGGAAGTCATTTTGACCTAATTAAAATTCTTCAAGTTCTCATGTCTTACAAGAAAGAAAAAAGCTTCTCTGTTGTTTTGCTTTCTCCTTTGTAGTCACCTTTAAACCTAATGTGTTCCTTTTCAGAATCAGAGACTTCTTTCCCACAGAAGAAAACATCTAGTCCATCTTTATTACGAAATGAGAATGGTATTGACACGGACCGAGCTGGGGAGGCAGTTATCCAAAAGCCTCGAAGGAAGACAAAGTAAGAATTTGTTTATTCTTCTGAATACTCTTCAAGGTTATGCTGATACTTAGACTTCCAAAGTGAGAGCATCTCAATAAATACTTGTATATGCTTATCTCTAGGAAAAAGAGTGTTACAAACATGAGTTAAACCTAATGAATGATAAATTTTAAGAGTGAACTAACTCAGTAAGGAAAAACATTAGTATTGTACTTCAATAACAAATTATAGAAGCCATCTCTAAAAAAGAAGCACATAAATGGACTTCACATAAATTATAAAAATTGCATATTATGAGTATTTAAAATTAAAGATAACTGGTTCTTATGACTCACTGTCTTAAGACCATTTTGATCATATGATCATTCTGGAAACAAGCTTTTGCTTGTTTATATTTTAGCATGTGAAATTATATCTCAGATAGAAAAAGACATATCTTAAAGGAATATAGTGAAGATTATATATTACCATTTGTTTTTGAAAATAACCCTAAAACTAGTGATTGATGTCTACATAGTCACTTCATTTTGCTATTTGAGAAAACTGATGTCCACAGGAATTAGGTAACTTGCTGCACCTGACAGTTAATAGCAGCTCAAGTTGAGTAGAAACCAAATTTCTTGTCTCCAGTTGCTGTGTTCTTATTGGTAGTGGGCTCTGTAGAAGTCTGGTCAGCGTGCACTTTTCTTCCCTTCTCCCTGATGCCAGGAAGACCCAGCAAGCAGAAATACAGTATGCCAATGAGCTCGGAGTGGAAGATGAAGACATCCTCACCGATGAGCAGAGCGCTCCCGAGCAGCAGGCGAGGTTCACAGCCCCCACTGGCGTCAGCCAGCCTGTCGGCAAAGTCTTCGTGGAGAAAAGCCGTAAGTTGGTCCATGCTTCAGAGCACTGGTTCCTTGGCAATACCTAATTTTTGTTATAATGCAGAACAGTATGTTTAAGAAACCAAAAAAACAAAGAGCCTTCGGAAGTATGTTCTAGAGGAATTTTTAAATGGATCCACAGTGATGTTTCAGCATTAGCCTGAGGTCTCTTTTGTGTGGAACAATGCAAACCACCACCAGACTTGTTAGTAACCAACCGTGTCATTGTTCTCAGGGCGATTCCAGGCCACTGACCGCTCTGAGTTAATAAAGACCACAGAGAACATAGATATGTCGATGGACGTGAAGTCATCCTGGACCACCAGAGATGTGGCCCTTTCAGTGCACCGGGCCTTCAGGTATTGGCTGCTTTTGTTGGGTAAAATGAACATTAACTGTTCTTGTGAAAAGAAGCCTTAGCTGTCAAATACTGTCAAATAATTGACAACTTAAAATGGTGAGTAGGTATATTATTCCAACATTCTAGAATTAAGTGATCCTGCCTATTCCTGTAAGTGAAGATGATGAAGCTTGTTTGCACATTGTCTAAAATGTTGAATCATTTTATGTTCTTCCTATGTAATCAGTCAGTGGCTCTTCCTCCCTTCAGGATGATCGGTCTCTTTTCTCCTGGCGTGTTGGCTGGCTGTGCTGTGTGGAACATTGTTGTGATTCACGTGCTGGCAGGAGACCAGCTGTCTAACCTCCCCAACCTTCTGCAGCAGTACAAGACCCTGGCATACCCATTCCAGAGTCTTCTCTACTTACTCTTGGCTCTGAGTACCATTTCAGCTTTTGACAGGTAAGATGGTTGTGATTCCAGAGCCTTCTCACTTTTCTTTAGGATGAAATGCTGAGCAGAACTTCCAAAAGTTTTCAAAATAGAATTTTAGGGTGGTTCCATTACTTCTGCCTTTTTCTTAAAAAACAAACAAACAAAAAAACCAACTGGTCTGTTTGTGTACCTTTTTTGTGTGTTATGATAGGACTGTTGTGAACAAGATGTTTCAATAAGATTGAATGCATTTTTACATTAACTTACAGGTATAAAATTTCATCCAAATATAATCAACTTCCAAAACCCGAAATATCGTCTGAGTTCTCTAAATCAGGTCTAGGTGAGATACTGGACATAGTATTAGTTTACTAGGCCTGCTGCACCAGAAGCACCATGCCTCAGCTGGCTTGCAGCAGCAGAAACACGGGCTCTGGAAACTGGCAGTGTGCAGTCAAGGTGCTGCCGAGTTTGATCCCTTTCTGGAGGACTCTGAGGGAGATTCTGTTCTCAGTCTGCCCTCTGGTTTGCAGTGCAACTGCTGGCAGGCCTTGGCATTCCTTGGCTTTGAGGTGCATCATTCAGGTACCTGTGACTCTTGTCACCTGGCACTCTGATCTGTGTGTCCCTATTCTGAGTCTCTTCTTTCTATAAACATGTCAGTCATACTGGATTCTGGTTCCTTCTAATAACCTCTAGTTCATTACCTACACAAATACCATGTTTTCGCGTAAGGTTGCTATCATAGGTACCAGGGGTCAGAAATCACTCTATCTTTTTGGGATCACATTTAACCCATTTTTTTTGTATCAAAAATTGACTAATTACAGCCTACTGATGTGGATAAAATAAAGAGGTTGGAGCTAATGAAATTTTGAAGATCAAATTTAATTTATCTCTTGCTATCTGAATGTCTCTTGCCTCATACTGTCTTCTGGCTAGATACTTTATGTGATTTTACAAAATAGATATTCTTTTGTATATTAAGGATAAACTAGGGCTACTTAAAGCGTAATAATATATAATGGCATGCAATACAGAACAAAAACTGCTCAGGGAAATAAAGTTTAGTTAGGGTTGCAACTGTACCATGACCAGAAGTGTTTGTATTTTCTAGGATTGATCTTGCTAAAACCTCAGTAGCTATTCGAAATTTCTTTGCCCTGGACCCAACAGCTTTAGCGTCTTTCTGTGAGTAAAGAGTTTTGTTTGACAACTGTGTAATATTTTAGTTATGCTGTGATTTTAAACTAGGAGAAGTGATACTTTTTATTTTTACAAAGTTTTCATGTTATTTGTCCTTATAGACATTACCTTTAGATGTTCAGTGAATTTGTAACTAAAAAAAAACCCCGTCAGACTTAATTTCACAGAATTATTTTTCAGTAGAGGTTAATCCAGATAAAATTTTTAAAAGTTTAATTTGTTGTTTTGAATTACTTTTTAGTTTTTGCATGTACTGCTTGACAATAATAGATTCAGTTATAGGTGTGGTCTTGCTGCAACTTGTCTTATATACTTATGATAGCTTTGTTTTAAGTTGTGGGAATATTAATAAAATTAGTTTTAGACCTCAGTCACGTCATTTAATTTCTTAAAAGATCTAGGTTCTTGCCAGTTCTTACGATGAACTAGTGAGCCTGTCAAGACCCTTCTGCACTTGTGTTCTTGAAGAAACAAGACTGCTCAGCCTATTGCAATTGATCAAATGATTGTCTTTTATATTATTATTCAGCAAAGAAAAGATTGCTTTAGTATAATCAGATTAGACCCAGTTGTGAAAATTATTAGTAACTTAATTTGTCTTTTTCTCAGTGTACTTTACTGCTCTTATACTATCTCTGAGTCAGCAAATGACAAGTGACAGAATCCAGCTTTACACACCTCCTTCTGTCAATGGTAGCCTCTGGTAAGAATTCACAATAACATTAGCAATTGTTAATCGTAATAACAGCAGCAGTGGGAAGAATGTTCTTTTCTCATCTTTTTGCTTTTTTTCATGTTCCTCTATAAATAATGTAGGCCCTGTTTTGTTTTCAAAAACGTGGCAAGAAAATACTTATTCCTCTCATTAGCAAGCAGCTAGTATGGAAACCTGTACTTTTAATGAAATGTCTTTAAAAAGGTTTGTTTTAGGTATTCAGTTAGGATTTCAAAGCGGCTTATCTCCTCATGGCTTGGAGGAACTCTGTACCCTTACCCCCAGAGCAGTGATGAGGGAGTTCAGCCAGGATGGAGTCAAGCAAATCAACGACACTAGGAGAACAGAGCTGCAGATGACACCTGCAGATGACAGGGCCGCTGAAATTCTAGTTCCTGAAACTGGAGAGATCGTCTTTCTTGAGGAAGTGGCTAGAGGCTGGAGTAAACAAAGAAAGATAAGTTACCGCAGAATATTGCTAAGATATTGGAAGGAGACGTTAGAGCATTTTGTTTTGTTGATGACAGTATCTTTACAGTTAGCTCAATGTACAGAGCAGGCCTGTTTAGGTTTCCAATCACTTTTGAATTTTTGCTCTCATGGTATATGGTATATTTTATGTTTTACTTGTTATTTCCCTAGGAGAGAGCTAGGTTTCTATAAAAGTGATGAAATTGATATATTTCATGATCAAAATAAAGACACTTGTAATGAGTTTTTCTATATCTCTAGGGCAACGGGAACTGAGAAACAGATTGTCCAGCCGTGGATTATAGTGAATTTGGTGGTGGCAGTCCTGGTTGGATTGTCTTGGCTTTTCTTGTCTTACAGGCCAGGCGTGGATCTTAGTGAAGGTATTATACAAAATAACAGTATACCTTTACATCTTTTGTAGTGCTTTTATAAATATTTTAAATATTCTTAAAATGTTCCAGTAACAGAGACATATTTAAAATAAAAAAAAATACAAGAGATATGAAAAGAAAGTGGTTGTGACAGCGTGTCAAGGAAAGCTTGGGGGAGTGTCTAAAAGAACTGGAGTTTGGAAGTCCTTGATGAGGGTCTTTCCCCTGAGGACCCCCAGGGGATCTTTTTTCTCATGGGATCCATCCAGTAACTTAGAAGGTCCTTGCCATTCATCTCTATTAGTCTATTCCTGATGGAAGTATCCCTTCATTTGGAAATAAATCATGTCTGATGCATATTCAAGTGGGTTAGCTCTACCTCCTTCTCTTCTTGGCACAGATTCTTAACCCTTTACTATCTAATGAAGTCTTTAGGAATTCTACTTTCAAGGTGACTGGTATTGCAAGGGAGAGTCACCAGTTTCTGGTCCCAAACTCCCTTTGGAACACCTGAAGAAGCAGAACTATATTAGCAAACTGCTAGTCATTTAAAACTTTGTTATGGGGTACTTAATATTTGTATTGTAAATTGTATTTCCTTGGCAGGGAATATAAACCTTTGAGTCTCCCATATTAGTATTTTTTGGAATTTAGTTATTATTTGATTTTTGATTGGATCAGATAATTAGGACCTCTCTCAGCAGTCTTACGATGGAGAATTTTTCAAAATGCCCATTTGTGAAAATCAAGACAAAGTATAATCACAATGTATGTCCTCATTTGCAAATGTGCCTTTTTAGCATTATATTTCTCATGTTGCTCCACTGAATAGCCTGTTGCTTTATTCCTCTTGGTATATTTGATATGTTTTTGAAGATCTCAAGCCATATGTTTTGATTTCTTTCATTTACCATAGTTTTTGACTATACAGATAGCTTTTCATCTAATACTTGTAATATTTTATAGGTCTTAATTTACTGTGTTCATAATGTTTTCTTTTTCTTACACATCTTGGTGTTTTAATAAATTAAATATCTAGGCTATGTAATATTTTAGTTGTAAAAAGGTCAACTACTTCCATTCTACTCCATGGTTAGAATTAAAGCTGTATCCAACCAGCTTCCAAAGTACTCAGTCTAAATCATGAATAATTAGTAAATATTTGTAGAAACTTGCTCCCTTTCAGGGCCATGTAAGCCATGTAACTTTCTGTTTCCATGTGGAACAAAAAGTGAATATAAAATGAGGGTGATGCGTAGCTTAGCGGGTTGTTTTGGTGATTGGAGGCAGTAACGCAGTGAAGCTATCCTGCTATAGACCCATGTCAGTTCCAAGTTCCTTTGTATCTGTGCCCTGTGTTCTGGATTATCTGATCACTATAGAATAGACCTTTTGGCCCTTTAACGATGTTAGACTATCTGCATGTCTCAAATATCCCAGCAAGGCTTATTGTATTGTTTCTATTGCATGTTTTCTTTTTCTTTTAGAGATTTATAATAAGTCTAAAACTTGAACATTCAGCAATACAACAGATGCACATTTGTTACTAGCTCCTTTACATCAGATTTTACTGTTAATAGTTCTTACTTGACTTGGGGGCTTTCTGTTACTGTGTATTATGTCAGTATTTCAGGAGACTGTTTATAACGCAGCTATACAGCTCTTCTTACGGCACTAGGAAGTAATGTAAAATATCATCTGTTCATTTTATCCTGCAGAGCTGCTGTTCTCCTTCGATGTGGAAGACTGTCCTGAAAAAGACAGAGGAATCAGAGCCTCCTCATAAAGCCAAAATGCCTACAGGGGAATGGTGGTTCCATGTTTGTCCCAAACTTGTTTTACAGTTATCTTTATAAAATATGTATATATTTTTAACTGATTTTTGGATTATATAATACTGAAAAACCCACTATTATGGACAGTGTTAAAATTGTATCTCCTATTTATACCCAAACATTAATTTCTACAGCATCATATCTTATTGATAGTGATAGTGAGCTAAAAGCCAGAAGGTGAAAGTATTTATTTCTTACTCTGTCAAATTAGTTGTCTTTTTAATCTTTATAGAAGTACTAAATCAGGAAAAGCCAAGGCCTCTTCTGTTGTAAAATATGTATCGAGTTTAAACACAGATTTAAGGAGTAGAGTAAAAGGGGAAGAGGCCATCACTTTTAAAATATTTTCTTACTAAATAAATTGAGATATGAAACATCTTTCCTGAAATGTAGTGTTTGTGCATCATGTAATAATTATAAAATGTATTTCTTAATCTTCAAAGATGCTTTGTACCTAATAAAAAGGAAAAAAATATTTTTATTTGAAAAATTTCATATCCTACAAAGTGCATCTCTCTTAAACAGCTGTAGTAGTCATTCTCATGTCCAGTTGAACATAAGAATCATTCATAGAACTCTAACAAATACAGCACAAGAGAAACTGAGCAGTGAGAGAATTCAGGAGGCTTGTGTTTGTGGGTTCATAGTCCCAACTGACATTTTTAAACAAAAGATTTATTTATCTAAAAGGCACAGTTAACAGGAAGAGAGAGAGAGAGATCTTATATCCTCTGGCTCACTCCCCAAATAGTTGCATTAATAGGGGCTGGGCCAAGCTAACTCAGGAGCCAGGAACTCCATTTGGACAGGGGCCCCAGCACTTGGACCATCCTCTGTTGTTCTCCTTTTGTGAAAAATAAGAGATTCAGTGATGCCTGCCTCTCTTCTCTGCTTGTTGGCAGTTTCTGTGTCTTGAGAATTATTGCACCAGAGTAAAGTGAATCTAGACTTCTGGGTCCCAGCCTCAGAGATTCAAACACAAAAGGCCTAGGTGGTGCTTGGAAAAAAACTACATCATATAGAAATGCACCTTGGGTGACTGCAATGAAACCAGTAAAGTAGCTAGCATCTTAGGGTCTCTGGCCTGTATAAACCACGTATGATCTCATAACGACTTGAACTTTAGTTTGTCAGGTTGGTGGGAGGACAAGAAAATAAAAATTGTATCAAACATGGTACCTGTCATCGACAGGCTCATAATGTAGTGAGAGAGAAGATAGGTAGAAGAGTAGGAATTTATTTTGGGTAAGATTGGCTATGAACAGCTGCTTAGTAGGACTTCTACTGGTGTTATGGACATGAAAAAAGCCAAACATGAGTGAGCCCCAAAGACTTGAAATCCAACAAAAGTGTTGAAGTCAGTATAGCAATAATAATCTGAATTAACCTAGATTTATTATTTGTTAAAAATTTGCCTCATTCGCTTTATTTGTATATTAAAAAATAACAACAGCATTTTGAAATTAAGTTGCTAACATCAGGGCACTTTACCCAGATACCCCAGCATGTGTCTTCTGAAAATAAGGACAGTATAATATCACTGACACAACTGGAAAACAATTTCATAATGTTTGCTCTACTCTCAGATTTACAAGTTGTCTCTCAAGTTCTACTCAAGGTTCATCTCAACTTTTTCTATGTTCTCCATAACATTTTTAGTTGAATATTTTGATTGAGATGAATGTGGATGGATGCAGTCATGAGAAATAATAGAGATTTTTTTTTCTAGCTTGCCAATTTCACTCAACAACATTTTGCAAAAGGGTAGTGTATTCTTGAGCACGTTATACACATTTCTACAATCCATCCGTTTTATTCAGGTTTCTCATTTTATTTGCACTTGTATTTCTTTTACTTGTGTATGTATTCTAAAAAATCTGCACATTTTTTCCACAACTGTAAGGCTATATACCACTATACTAGACTTTGGTTTAAAAAAAACACCTGTTTTCCACATTGTCATTTTCTAGTAACACCTGTCTCCCTCCTACACTGCTTAACTCTGACCTTAGCAACTAATAATCTGTTTTTTCTAAAATTTTGCTATCTGGACAGTGTTATAAATTGCATTAGTCTGTTATCTTTTTGGATTGCCTTTTTTTTTCTGCTGAACACAATTTTCTGGAGTCCTCTAAGTTGTCTGGACCAAGAGTTTATTCCTTATTATTGAGTATTCTGTATTTATTCATTTGAGAGAGATAGAGTATGAAAGTAAGTAAAATCTTCCATTTCTGGTTCATCCCCAAATGACCTGGGCCAATATGAGGAGCCAGGAACTCAATCAGGTGTCACATGTGGGTGGCAGGACCATCATGTGCTCCTTCCTGGGAACACTTTGGTAGAAAGCTGAAGTCAGAAGCGGGGACAGACATTACCCTAAAGGAGTGAATATCCTATTTGGCATCCTAACTCCTAGGTTAAACATCTGCCTCTGCAGTCCTTTTTCAAACTACCCTCCCTGGGCCCAACACGGTGGCCTAGTGGCTAAAGTCCTCGCTTTGAAAGCGCTGGGATCCCCTATGGGCACTGGGTCTTACAAAATGGAAGTTAGATCTAGAGGTTTAATTAGATTTAGGATAGATTTTTTTTTTCTTTTTAAAATGTTTATCTATTTGGGGGAGAGTAAAAAGGAGAGAGGGAGGAGAGAGAGAGAGAACGAGAAACAAACTGCCCTTTTGTGACTGGCTCCCCAAAGGGCCGCAGTCAAGGCTAGGCTGTAGCCAGATCTTCCACATGGCTTACAGGTGCTCATGGGTTTGAGCCTATCACCTGTCATCTTGCAGAATGCACATCAGGAGGAAGCTAGATTGGAACTAGAAATCAATTTACTTCTGGTTAAGCTTTAAAAAAGATTTATTCATACTTATTGGAAAGGCAGATTTACAGAGAGGAGAGACCAAGATCTTTCATCTACTGTTTCACCCTGCAACCTGATCCAAACCAGGAGCCAGGAGCCCACTTGGGGTCTCCCATGTGAATACAGGCTCTACAAAGGTTTTGCATGAAAAATACGCCTTATGAAAAACTATGCATAGATTTAATTTTATACCAAAATAAGTGATTTTTTTCTACAAACCTTTTTCAATTTTTTTCACCTATCTTGTGTAGCATGAACCTCAGAGAAGTCAGAGTTGGTTTTTGGACAATGAGTCTCCTTCGTAATAGTTAAGTACCATATAGTATAATCCCAACATGACAACAAATGTGTGCTAAGACCCTTGGGATATTGTGCCATGCTCCCCAAAGACAGCAGATTGAGGCTTCAGTTCTTGCCTCCCAAGAGCTCATCCTTTGAGATCAGCAACTAACTGTGAGTTCACTAATAGCAATATGGCGAGGAGTGGGTTTGCAGTATATATATGGGGTTATAAGACAACTGAAGACCGACTTTTCCACTGGACCTTGAATAAAAGAATACTTCCAAACAGAATAGCAAGAAATAATGATTCTGCTATAGCAGAGTCCACTTAGGAGACCTTTAGTCTAAATAGCAAGAATTCTAAATTTGTGGTCCAATAAAGAAGTTCTGGAGATTTCTAGGTGTTGTTCTGCTGCTGCTGCTGCTGCTGATTGTAGTGGCATGTTAGTACCAGAGCAGTGGAAGGATTGGATGACAGCCGACCCAGGAGCAATCTATTGCAACAGCCTGTGCATAAAACGTCCCAGAGTAAACAGAAAAATGTCCCGGCATTTAGGGTTAAATATTTAAAATGTGCCCACATTTTAAGGTTTTTTTTTTCTTGTGGATGTGATATTTCCATAACCAAGTGCATTTGCAACAGACGTTTAAGAGGCAGATGAAGACCATTATGTGTCTACAAAAAAGTCAGGTAAAGATGTGCAAATCGATTGTTGGGCTGTCTTCAAACGCATGGGTCTCACCAGGCTCCACGCAGAAACAGTGAAGCAGGGCGCATGCGCGACGCCTGCGCAGTGGCGGGCGAGCCGCGGCGGTTACGCGCTGCTGCCAGTCCCTTGGTGGAGGATGGCGGGATGGAGCCGCCCAAGGAGGTGCCTAGGCCTTCCAACGTGCTTGAAAACCGCAATGAGCACCTCCATTCGCTGTTCCCGGCCCCGTTTCCACAGAAGAGTGCCCACGGCAACCCAGATACCACACACTTGAGAGGGCCTGAGTATCCTTGGGCCCGTCATGGCCACGACCATGGCAGGACGGCGTTGCCCAAGGACAAGAACAAAGAGGGCGCTGGGCACCGCCTGCTCAACGTGAGTAGGGGCCTGGCCGGCGACCGGGGGAGGGGGGTGTATGTCCTCCCGCCGTCCGGAGGGGAGACTAAGCAGTCAGTGTGTCCAGCTGCGAGATAGATCCACTCTGCGTAGGGACGTGGTTTAGCACCTGAGGAGAAGTTTACTTGTGGGACCTAAGGCAGTTACCTATCTTCTCAGAATATTGTTACAGTGTTAAGACAGTAAGGAATCACCTCCTCACAGGAGAACTAAGTAAGAATGTGAAGTGCAAAGAACAACGAATCGATAAATGTTAGCTGCTGGCCTGGCATCATCCTTCGCAGTTCATCTGTATGGCTAAGGGCTAACCTCCAGAGACTTAATGGACCTAATGAACCTCCAGAGCAGGTACACATCATGAGTTGCTTGGTTGTGTGTGTAAGAGAGATGGAGGAGTTGGTATCGCTGGCACTCTTGATCCATTCATACTGTAGGGCTGGACACAAGGTCTAGCACAGGAATCGGGTAGCCGATCCTGCAGCAGGGGTCCTGGGCAGAGGCACATAGGGTGAGGCACTGGATGTCCACCCTGTCTGAAAGATCTGTGGGAATGAGTTGCCAAAGGAGGGAGCAGACTGGGTGGCAGGAAAACTTGCTGATGCAATCATTATCAGTGAAGCCGGAAATGCCTTTCGCTTGCTTGACGGTGACATGCTTCTGAATTTTCTCAATATTCTTAAAGAAGCCTAAGCTCATCCCCAGGTAGTCCTTGCATCCCCAGCATCCTTGCACTAGGATGCTGTTAAATAATTCCAGGGGAGAGCCCTGCAGCTTGCCGTTGGGCATGTCAGCCATGTTCTAGCGTTGTTCCAGCAGTGATCCTAACGGCTGGACAGACACTTCAGCATCAAGGCAAACCCAACAACAAAGGGCCCGTCAGCAAGGATGGCTCCACCATGGGTTTGCCTCCTGGGTCTCGCTGAGTAGCCTTTTAATCCATTTTCTGTTTCCACTCATTCAGAAACTCCTAAGAGAGATATTTTTGTGGTTTTTTAGTGTTAAAGACTAGTTGACTCTAGTGCACAGACTAATTTATGTGGTTTCTATTCTGTTCCATTGATCTGTTTTTGTGCCAGTATCAGGTTGTTTTGGGTATAATTGTACCGTAATATGTCTTGGAACCCCATCTTTGGTTTCATTGTTTAAGATTGCTTTAGCTGTTCGGAGGTCACTTAATTTTCATATGAATTAGCATCATTTTTCTGGATTTGAGGAGAATGTCATTGTATTTTGCCGGAGGCCTGCTCTAACAAAGGATGTGTGGATCAGTGAGATGATAAGAAGAAGAGATAAGACGTGGACCACTATGGCATGATGCTCATAATGGACAACTCAGAAAAGTTGCCTTCTTTATACACAAATCATTACAAGCTTTTGCACAACATCCAATTGTTTCATTTTTACTTCATTATAAAAGAATGATTACAAAATCAATCCTAAAAAACATTATTATTATTTTACTTCAGAGAAAATATTTTCAGCAAGCTATTACTCATTCAAACCTGCAGTGACCTGGCAGAAGCCAGGAACTCCATGGTTGGCAGCACATGTAGTTACATAGTGACAAGTGGTTTACTTATATTTAAAATCAATTTTTACTAAATACAAACAAATAATATTGCTTAAAATATTAAGAGTACAGAGTTGAAAGATCATAAATGAAAAGAATTTATAAAAGCATATAACATAGATTCTTTGCTAAATCTTATAATCAAATCATGCATTAATTACCATCACCTTCACCTAGTGCTGATTCAATTGTTTTTTGTTCTTAGTGTTGATTTAATTGTTTTTTGTTCTTTTGTTAAAGGGCAGTGAAAGGGATCAAGGCAACTCAGCCAATCTACAGAGGGCCTTTACAAGAAACTTCCTTTTATCTTTATAAACTGTTTTCTTTCCCTAAATATGAGTGCCAATATAAGATAGAAGTTTTTATAAACTGTTTTCTTTCCCTAAATATAAGTGCCAATATAAGGTTGAGATTTTAAGCCATTTGGGGGGGGGGCGTGGTTCACATTTGTTTCCCTTTAGAAGATGCCCCATATACTTTTTGCTTTCCGTGGTGAGAAACCAAAATGCGTCATATCATGTGTTGTAACAGTTCAAGGTGCATGGTAAACAAACTCTTTGTACTTCCATGATTGCCATCTGTTCCAAGATATTATCAAGCCATTTCTTAAGGAAAACATTATTTATATTAGGGCAAACTTCAGGACAAAGGTGGGCACATAACAGATGTTTGGAGGCATTGTGGGCTCAATTGTACTATTGTATGCTTTTAGCTGTGTGTCATTGCCTTATGTCACTAAAGATGTTTTTATCATAACATGATTGATCAATTTGAGGTGTCATACCAGTTACAGGAATCACTTCACATTAGCAGAAAAACAACAACAACACCCTCAGGAGAATTCTATGAAACATCAGAGAGGTGACTGAGTGTCCATACAATGGGGTGAGGCAGCAATGAGGTGACCAGAGACATTCTGCTGGGCCTTGCCACACAGCCAGAAACTCCTCGTAGCCTTGCTAACCAAGGAGTGGTGCTCATCACACACCCATGCCATCTGACCCAACTGCATGGCTCCCCACAGTGTTTTCATTGGGCTCACATTGAATCTGTAGAATCATTAGGTAATATAAGCATTTTGGTGATTTATTGAGGACTTATTTTTCTTTGGAAGGAAGAGTTACACAAAGAAAACAGGGAGAGAGAGAAGAGTGGAAAAGAGAGAGAGAGATTTTGGGGTTCAGAGAAATCTTAGGAGACACCAAGGTGAGTGAAATGATTTTAATGTCCAGTTTGGCGACCACCTCTTGCCATGAACAAGAAGCTTGTCAAACAAAGAAAATTGGGGGGGGGGGTTATACTAATTAACTATGAGATAATCAATAGCTATATGATATTGGGTAAATACATAATGAAGGGTTATTTTGTGACATAGAGTAGAAAGCAGGTAAAATATTTATAATATTTAGGGTTCAGATCCAATTATTTCTATATTTTTGGGTCGTTGAATTTAATGAGAAGAAAGTATTTTGAAGAGGTGAAACTAACAAAAAAATAAAAATCTATGAGATACAGTTTCTGCTGACTTTTGTTGGTGAGATGTGTCTCCTGTAGGCAAAAAATAGATGGGTTTTGCTTTTTTTTTTTTAAAGATTTATTTTTATTGGAATGGCAGATATACAGAGAAGAGAGACAGAGAGGAAGATCTTCCATCCTATGGTTCACTCCCCAAGTGACCGCAACTGCTGGAGCTGAGCCAGTCCGAAGCCAGGAGCCTCCTCTAGGTCTCCCACACGGGTGCAGGGTCCCAAAGCTTTGGACCATTCTCAGCTGCATTCCCAGGCAACAGACAGGGAGCTGGATGGGAACCAGGGCCACTGGGAACCGGCACCCACATGGGATTCTGGCAGGTTCAAGGTGAGGACCTTAACTGCTATGCTATTGTGCTAGGCCCAGGGTTTTGCTTTTTAATTCAGTCTAATAATCTGTGACGTTTGATTGATGAGTAAGCCATTTACATTCAGGGTTAATATGAATGGGTGGTAATTTGGTCCTGTCATTTTAGCAATAAGTTGTTCATTGATTTAGTCTTCTGTTGTTATTTTACTGGGATGTTCTTCACATTTACCTTTGGTTTTGGTGGGCACTATTCCTTTTCTCTGTCAAGAGAACACCTTAAGTATCATTTGTAGGGCAGGTTTAGAAGAGGCAAATTCTTTTAACTTTTTACTGTGGAATTTTATTTCATTTTCAAAGAGAAAAGAAAGCTTTGCTGGGTACGTTATCCTGAGCCAACAATTTTTTTCTTTTAGAATCTGTAATATGTCACTCCATTCTCTTCTGGCCTGTAGTTTCCTGTGAGTTTAAATGGCATCCCTTTATATGTCAGTTGACTTTTTTCATGTGCACATTTAAGGATTTTTTTTCTTATGTTCCATTGAAGAGAGCTTGATTATCATGTGTCTTGGTGAAGATTGCTTTTGATCAAGCCTGTTGGGAGTTCTGTGCCCCTCCTGGATGTTGTTTCCCAATTCTTTCTCTAGATTAGGGAAATTTTCCCTTATTATTTCATTAAATACATTTTTAAACCCAGCTTCTCTTTCTGTACCTTCTATGACTCCCATAACTTTTATATTTGGCCTTTTAATAGTGTCTTTTAATTCTTGAATACTTTTTTTGGCCTGATCCAGCTCTGCTTCCAGCTTTTTGTTTGTTTCCCCATGGTAACAGGAAATATCTTCCAATTCTGAGATTCTTTCTTCTGCTTGCTTCATTCTATTTTGGAGACTCTCCACTGTACTTTTAGTTTGCTCCACTGTATTCTTCATTTCTGATATATCAGCTTTCATTTGATTCCAGTGTGACATATTCCTTAAATTCCTTGTGTGCCTGCTTTACGTGCTTCTCATTGTTGATCAGAAGCTTTAAAATGAGTTTTCTGAATTCTGTGTCCCCCATTTTCTTGATGTCTTCCTCAGTTAACTCTGAGGTTGGCATAGGGTTTTGCTCCTTTGCAGGGGAGTCTTCAGTAATATTAATTGTGCCTCTGTTTCCTCTTTTGCTCTTGATCATTGTACTTCTGGTTAGCAGATTCTTCTCCTTGGGGCATGTTTCTAAGCTGTGTCACCCACAAATCTACAGTTCAATTTTACTTATTGTGGTTGGTACACAGCTCTTTGTTTGCAGCCAGTGTGCCTCTCCCTCCAGCAAGTTCCAGGTCTGGGTTCTTACTTTAGATTTCCACCGTGGTCTCCATAGCCCCAGTTCCTGGCTCACCAGTCACCACCTCCTGTAATATCATGCTGAAGCTGCGCCGTTGTCTGTACAACCTTTGTCCCACTTCCATTTGGAGCAGGTCTCAGGTGTCCTATATAGCTAGATTGTTGGTGGTGGTGATCTTGCTGGAACCTGTTGGCTGTTAGGTCTGAGGGCCACACAGACCTATTTTGACCCGTATGATGGCATAGTC